ATGAGAGGGTGAGAGTGAAGTCAGGGTCAGGGTGTTTATTCCCCTGCCTCCCTCCCTATTAGGTCCCTATAGGTTGGCTGCACCCTTCTACCAAAAGAAAACTAGTTTCTCTGAGTTCTGGTAATGCTCCTTCCTCTGGCTCCTTTTCGGCCTCATGGTGGAGGAGGGTCCCCACAGTTGGTAGCTTCACCATCTGTAGTTGGTTTCCTTAACCTTGCCCACACTTTTCTAAGCCATTCCTGCCTCTTGAGTGTGCCATATCATTCCTGACAGGACCTGACTGATATGCTCCCTTTCTGAATCCTGCCTGCTGGCCCTTCATTGATGGCCAGTTGAAGTGACCACTGCTTCCTTTGTTTTTCCTCGTCCTTGTGTTTTCTTGAACCATTGCTCTGGTCACACTGTGCTGCTCACATTTGTTCCCATGCTCATCTCTGTGGCCTGGAAGCTCCTTGAGAGTAGATTGTGCCTATTCCCCAATCCTAGGGTTCGTAGCAAGGTACTCACGGGCTGAATGAATGAATAAACAGTTGAGCATACTGCCATCCATCCAAGTCAGTATAATAGGCATTCATATTAGAGTACTTGGAATGTCACTGTATTTTGGAGGGTCTTAATACCTGCTTTACCATGACTAGTTCTAGCCAAGGGTTTGATCATTCAAACTTATCAGATTTGAAAAGTCAATTCTTTCTCTTACTTTGACTCTAGTTAGTTGGGTCAAACTTACCAAACTCAAGAGCCGTGGATTTCTTTAATAAAATGATCCCATATTAATTGTTGATGATATAAACTATAATTGCCAGTGGACAGCAGTTAGTGTTCTCTGATTTATATTACCAAAAGTTTCAAACATAAAAAACTGTGAAAGAACAGAATATCCTTATACTCACCACTTAGATTTACTAATTATTATTTTTCATATCACTTAACCATCTATGTTTATATGTATATATGCATATATATTACTTTTTTGCTGAATCATTTGAAAATGAATTACAAGCATCATCACCACTTCACCCCTACATAGTTCTGCATGCATTTCTTCTCTGGTAGCATGCCTAAGAATGCTACCAATAATTCCCTGATAGCATCTAATATGCATTGATAGTGTACTTGACAGGCAGACTAGGGGAGCAGGGGCACCTTTGGCCCACAGAGTTACTCTGGTTTAATCTCAATTTTATCTGGCCTGCAGCGTTTTTTTTCTGAATGTCAATATCCATCAGCTTCTGCTGCAACTGAGATCAACAAATTTAACTATGCACACACCTAAGAGTTTTTTCTGGCTTTCTCTCTGGAAGCAGATTCTCAGAGACAAGCCCAGGACTCCAGTAACACCTCCAGTAACACCACCTTCTCCCAATTTCTCTTCAGCCTCCTGTTGCTAATCATCTCAGAGGTCCCTTACAGTTCTTCCATACTGTGTAGCCAGTTTCCTTTGTTAAATACCCCTCTAAAGATGTAGAATGGTTTCCATTTTCTTGGCTTCTGGATCTCCTCAGAGGTTTGCCATGAGGATGAATTTTAAAATGAATTAATCCAAGTTCCTATTTCAAGAGCTCACAATTGAGTGGAGGAAAGAGATCAGTATATAGTTTTAATAAATGATGATAAACGGTATGGGGACACAGAAAGTGGGTTCAAAATGTCTTCACAGTTGTTTTCTTGTTTATTGGCTAGCTTTGGTGGTGTGGCATAGGGACCTTGGCAATTATGGTTTTCAGCATCAACTATTAATATGAGATTGCTATAAGAATGCTTGGGACAAATTTAAAATAAACATAAATTTTCTTTCTATGTTATTAAGTGCCCTCCATGTGGAAGGCAATGGATCTAGGCACAGGTGAAGAAAAACATGAATTATTTCAAGTTCCTATTTCCAGGATCTCACAATTGACTGGGGGAAAGAGATCAGTATATAATTTTAATAAATGACAATAAATGATATGGAGCCACAGAAAGTGGGTTCAAAATGCCTTCACAGGTATTTTGTCTATTGGCTAGCTTTGTCTATTGGCTGCCACTGTGTGGCATAGGGAGGAGGATATTCACTAACAGCCATAAGAATTAGGCTCTAGGCTGGCTCTGCCATCACTGACTTTTTGTGTGGCCTTGGGCATGTCATTCAGCCTTTCTGGGCTTCCATTTCCTATTTATAAGAGACAATATCTGAGTTCCCTTTTGGATTGCAAATAATATTACCATGACCTTGTAATCACTCATTTAACAATTGTGAGAGCCCACTATGTGCTGGGCACTTATTTTGAAATTCTTTCCAAGGAGTATGACTGAGACCTGACTTGTCTTATTTTAACCCAGGAGTCCTGCCTCTACAGTCCTCTGCATAACACAGGAACATGTAGACACACCTGTGCAAGCACACACACACACTTAAATATGCTTTGTCTCCGCTACCCACCACCTCTATGTCCTGGACATCCCATAGTCCTGTTGAAGGGATGAATGGTTAGCAACCTAGAAAACCCAGCTGAGAATGAGAAGGTGGGCCCCCCAGTTGTGGGCTCTGCACACCCTGGTGGGATGCATCTAGCTTGGACAAGGACAGGTCTTCCTGGTTGGTTCTTTAGAGACATCCACATGATGCATTTCATAGCCCTTGTGTGATGGCCATTTCAGTTGGTACAAAGCAGCTACTTTATGGGAGAGCTAGCGAAAAAAATTGATCATTTCCATATATTTCCCAAGTACATTCCTTCAACCAAACATGTCAGACACCTTCCCACTGATATATTTTTAAGTTATTACATCATCTGAAAATACCTTAATTAAACTTATTGTAATTAAATATTTAATTCCTGCCACTGTATAATTTAAATAATATCTTCCAAATAATTTGCTTATGGTCATCAGACTTAGAGAAGGCCCTCACAGAATGTGTCTCTGTCTGGTCATCAGACTTAGAGAAGGCCCTCACAGAATGTGTCTCTGTCTGGTCATCAGACTTAGAGAAGGCCCTCACAGAATGTGTCTCTGTCTGGTCATCAGACTTAGAGAAGGCCCTCACAGAATGTGTGTCTGCCAAAGCACAACAACTTCTTTTGCTGATGGCAAGCAGATCATACACAGAAGGGCATTTCCAGACCTATCCCAGCATAATATCATAGGTGCTGGAGGTACAGCAGTCAACAGACAGGCAGGCATTTCTTTATGGCAATGTAAAGAAAGAAAAGAGAATCTAGAGTGGAGGAAAACACAGTGATTTGATGTATTTTAAGGTGGTCCTTAAAAGAAAGTAAATTTGCTATATTATTCTCAAGAGAGTTATAATTTAAAATGTAATATTTAAAATAGACTTGTAAATAAGTAAAAATAATTCTGCTCTATCTCTATTGAGTGGTTAACAAAAACCAGGTTTAAGTTCCAGCAGCAAATTGAACTTTAGGAATGATCAGCTGAAGCCCTGTGAAGTCCAGCACGTTTGCTCGTATCTTCTGTCAGAAGAATTGTGTGCACTTTGCATGGCAGACCAGAGTCTCTTCCTCTTGGTGCAGGGAGTGGGTTTCTCCTCATAGGGAGCTTATGCTATTCTTTCCTTTTTATTCTACTAAGGCTTGTGCTCAGACTGGGATGGCCTATCCCGGCCTCCCGGCCTCCCAGTCCCCCTTTTCCCACAGCCCTAGATTCAATGTCCCTTACTTCCTGGCAGTGATCAGCCCCTGAGTTTCTTGTGTGTCTTTTGTGAAGGCAGGAAACACAGAGGAGGTACCTGGGAGACGGAGGATGGCTTTCCCAGTGGCATGGCCTCTGCTCCACCCCTCCAGGCCCCATCTTAGGCACTCTGCCAAGGGCACCAGCGCAGCGTGTAACTGAACATGGTCGTCAGACACACAAGAATTTCACTGTTCCCATCCTGGCTACACCAGTATCAGGCTACTAGAGCCAGTTCTATTCCCTCAAAACTAGGTGTGGAGTCACAAGAGCTCACTGGATGCAGAGAATCTGCAGAATCTATATTTAGACATTTGTGACATTCCAGGCACACAAAGAAGCCAGGATTGCATGCTTCACGGTGTCTTGTTTAAACTGGTGCTCTCAGCAGAGTCTCACAAAACATCATCGGCTTTTAATTGCTTTGTTTTGTTCTTAGCCGTGGTCTCAACTCAAACAGAAGTATGAAGCTGTCTGTTTAAAAAAATTAGTTTGGCTTTATATAACAGAAATACCCCAATAATAGTGACTTACGCATTATAGAAGTTTAAATTTTGCTCCCATTAAAAAAAAAAAGTTGACATTGACTCAGGCTCTTTGTAGTTTATCTCCCCACTATTTATAGAGTGTAGAATTAAACCAGCTTTCAAGCTTTTTGGTCTTAGGATCCCTTTACACCCTTAAAAGTTATTGAGACCTGCAAAGAGCTTTTGTTTCTGTAAGAAGTTACTGTAGTAAAAATTAAAACTGAGAAAGTTTTTACACATTTTATTCATTTTAAAATAAAAATAATAAACCTACTGCATGTTAGCAACAACACAGATTTGTGAAAAATAATGATGTTTTCTAAGACAAAACAATTAGTGAGAAGAATAACTTTTTTCCATTTTTATAAATCTCTATCTGGCTTAATAGATGACACTTCGAATTTTATATATGCCACTGTATGCAGTCTGTTGCAATATACTTATTGCTTTGGTTGAAGTTTATGAAGAACATTTTAGGCTTGACATAGATATATATTTGGAAAAGGGAGGATTCTATGGACCTCCTGAGCAAGGCTTTTGTTCTCTGTGTCCTCATCCTATACTTTGAGAATGACTGCCTCAAATCTTATAGTCTAAAATAGCTGCTGGAGCACCAGCCATTATATTCATATCCAAGGTATCACAATAGAGGAAAGCTTGAAGGAAGAATTGGTACTCTTCCTTTAAAGAGAATTCCTGGAAGGCACGCAGCATTCCTGCTTACATCTCTGTGGTCAGGACTTTCACATGGCAACACCAAGCATAAGGGATATGTTTTAGTGGGGCAGTGATGTGCTCAGCTAAAACTTTCTAAAAGAGAGGGAAAAAGGCTACTGAGACGCAATTAGTAGTCTCTACCACAGGAAGCATGAGTTAAAAGCATTCCAATGACCATACACTTCATCTGTTGTTTCCATGGCTGCAGATGGTCAAAACACCACAGAGTTCCGAGGAGTTCCCTGTGAAGAAATTATTCTTTATTTTGCCAAATGATTCATCTGTGGTGTTCAAGTGGATTTAAAGTATGTGCCAGGGGAAGGGTGTGGGATGGGAGTTTAAGGAGGAGGATGTGGGAAAACAGGCAGCAAGATTTGGGCTGACCAGAAATCCCCCCAAAGAAGTACTGACCAGAACCGTGTTGTGAAATGGACATTAAAAGTCCTGAAAAAAGAAAGACTCCCTGGCAAGATGTCACTGCAGCTGTACAGACATTCCTCTATTTCAAGAGCTTGAATGGCACTCAAAGAATAGTCATTAAGGACAAATTATTTTGGAAAAAAGATGAAAATGTTTTCTCTCTAGCAAGAAGTAAACACCACAGGAGTTTCTTATAGTTTATAAGAAAGTGTTAAGAAACGAATATAACATATTTTCACTCAACGTTTGCTTTGTGCCATCAAGGTTCTTTGTGCTTCACATGTATTACTGACCCTTGATCCTCATGGCAAACCTAAGGGGAAGATACTATTAGTATCAGATTTTAATAATAAGAAAATGGAAGCAGAGGGAAGTTAAGTGACCTGCCTAAGATTACACAGTTGGGAAGGTTGTATTTGGCTCTATAGTCTATATTCTGAAACTACTCAGCTACACTCACTTATATTTTGAGAAGGAGCTCAGAGCCAAGACTGAAACTTGAGGAAGTCCACTGGATGAGATAAACCTTTATCACAACATAATTTAGCACTCCTGAAATTTACTGTTAGGCCCTCTATTACCTGTAACTGGATATTGTAGTTTATTCGCATGTGCGTCTCAATTTTCCCCATGTTTAAAAGGATATATTAGCATTACTAAAAAGTGATATTTCTATAGAAGGATTGGTAATGCATTAAGGAAATCCTCATGTCCTTTCCTCTTCATTTCTTTCAGTAACCCAAACCTAACGAGGCATACTTCATCACAGCCTGCGGCTTCATATTCCCCTTCCATCACTAGTCCAGTGGCAGCTACCTAAAACGTGAGCATGGTGCCTAGCAAGGAATAATCAGCCTTGTGGGATGTATTTTAATAACACAAACCTTTCAACAGAAGGTGCAAATTGGTAGCCTGCAGTCAAGATTTTGCTTATGGACATGCTTTATTTGGCTCATAAAGTATAATTTTAGAAAACAGATTTTTTGGCCGAAACTCAAAACCTAGATTTTATGTAAGAATCCGGAGGAGATACTCTGCCTTTTAGATAGGCCATGCTCTCCCCAGTTCAGGTTGGCCCCCAATAGCCACCACCTCTTAAAAGTGGTTTTTTTCCTGCAATTATGTTACCTGCTGTCCCCTGAAGGCATTTGAGTTTGCAGTCTTTTCCTTACAGGTATTAAACTTCAAATCATACTAAACCCCATATTTTATTGTAGCAGAACCTGTTCTGGAATTATGACACCTGTAATTTCCAGTTGAACAAATTATGCTGTCAGAGCTTATCCACTTGGTGGATTCTGCAATCAATGGAGACACGGAAGTTATGATTCCAAACTGTATGCAGATAGATAAATGATGGGCTGAAAATGATAAGATAGGGTAGAACCACAAAATAATGGGATAAATATCTAGAGTTTGGTAATGCAGAGCCTGGCACATAGTCCTAGAGTTTAAACATTTATTGCTGAATGTTTGATGGTGCACAGACAGAGGTTTACTAAAGCTGCTAGGATTTCTGTTTTGCCATAATCACTGATAACAGTGATAATCAGTCATTGATGCCATTCACCAAATAGTTCTGGCTATGTGACTTCAGGTACATAAGAGGGTTGCATTTCCTGCCCCTTGAAGTTTGGGTGTGGGCATGAGACTAGTTCTGTCGAATGAGTTGTGAGCAGAGCCGATATGTGTCCCTTTGGCCAGATTGTAATTGGCAGGCTAAGACCTTCCAGAGAACTCTTTCCTCTGACATGGTGACCAGCAGGGTTTGAGATGGTGGCAGCTCAAGTAGCCTAGGCCTCTGAGTCATTATGCTGGACAGGTGCTTCTGCCAAACTGCGAGAGACATTGTATGAACAAGAAATAAAACTTTGTTATTAAAATCCACTAAGATACTTATTTTCTCTTTTTACCAGCAGCATAACCTATCCAATCCTGATTAAGCAGTCATCAAATGTTCACTAACAAGTACATACTAAGTTAAGATTTCTAAAAATCTGAATTCAGTCACTTGGGCCATCACTAATGTTGAAATGAAAATCCTTTGGGCCTTGTGTTTCTGTGACTCACTGATTCTAGGTCCCTTTTCTGAAACCTCCTGTCACCCATGAACTCTCCTCTTGCTGTTCAGCCTTTATCCTTTGCCACTGAGCTTCTCAATAATAGAGGTTTTCTTCGTGCTTAGGGAAAGACATCCATGGAGCATCAAGAGACAGAGTCACTCTGAAAGCAAATGACAGGGTCTTCCCGGAGCTACATTTTGCAGCAGTATTATACTCTGAGCCCACAGACAATAAAAACCATTTGTGTCTCAGCTCTGCAGCAGCTTGGTGCAATCCTTCTTAACAGAACTTGTGTGTGTCCGGTGGTAACGGAGCTAAGGAAAAGCCCAGGTCTCAGTGCTCCTCATTAATCCAGTCTACAGTATAATCTGTTTCTTATAGGTTTCTTTCTGTGCCTGTGTATTTTAACATTGCATCCATAATTAAATTTTCTTTCTAAACTAGGGATGTATTTTCTTATTACTGCTATCAATTTTTTAAAAATAAATCTCTTTTAAGTTTATTGTTTCAAAATGCAAGAAGTCCCCCAGGACCCACCTCCTGGGAAGAAGATGATCTCATCTGTCAGTGGAAAATGCCTGTCTAGATGGTAAAAGCTTTACTTGGTCCTTATTTTATACCTTGTTGGTCTGAAACATGTAAGTTTGGGATGGTCATTCATGGTTTTAATATATTGCTGGAGAAGCTGGTGTCTGGCTAGCTCATTCTTCTTGCTGAGCTTTTAAATATAATATTTTAAAGAATTTCGGTAAGTCAGGTGTCGGTAAGTAGGTGGGACTGTTGAGTTCTAAGTTTCAAAATCCATTTACTTAATCAGTCAAAAAGTTGTTGAACACTTGCTCAATAAATTACTTCTTCAATGGGAAAGACCATATCTTATTTACCTTTTACCTCTACCACCTAGCCCAATGCCTATATTGGAGTGCAAAACATGTGTTTTCACAGTTGCTAGTCAAAGTTCTGTGCTAATGCATCCTGGAAAATATAAGAAAGTCCTCACACTTCATGACCTCATAGTCTAGTGGATTAGATAAAATAAATGTGCAGTTAACTATACTCGGTGGCAGTGAAGAAAACATTATTCGCTGAGTAGTGTGATGGAAAAGGATATTCGATGGGTCACACAAATAATGCAGGAATTTGGAGTCCCTGGGTTTTACCAAACCTCCACTAACGAGCAGTGCAGCTGTGAGAGAACTGTTCAACTTTTCCAGGTTTCTGGAACTCCTACTGTTAAATGAAGGAGTTGACAAAACAATTAGAAATTTTTGAAATTATAGCACTTGAACACATTTTTATAAATTCCAAACAATGCAGGTAGAGCAAAAATTCCTGACAGCTTTATCTGTATTCTATAAGTTTTGAGTATGTTTGTTTTCATTTTTATTTTTATTTTTTTCTTCCAGGATTCAAATCTAGGGAGGGTATTTTCAATTGTTCCAGCTTTGGATAGGGAAGGATAGGCACCATGATTGACTCTTGCCAGACGCAAATCCAATGAGATAAATCATTTTTATTTATCTCAAAGTATTTTCTGATTTCCCTTGTGATTATTTTTTCTTTGACTCATTGGTCATTGGGAGTATGCTTAATTTCCATAGATTTCTGAATTTTCTAAATTTTCTTTTTTATTTATTTTATTTTTTGAGGCAGGGTCTCACTCTGACTCCCAGGATTAGGGGCAGTTGTGTGATCACATCTTACTGCAGCTTCAACCTCCCCAGCTCAGGTGATCCTCTCACCTCAGCCTCCTGAGTAGCTGGGACTACAGGCATGTGCCACCACACCCACGTAATTTTTTTCTTTTTAGAAATGTGGTCTTGCTCTCTTGCCCAAGCTGATCTTAAATACCTGGGATGAAGCAGGGTGAAGCAGCCCCCCTACCTTGGCTTCCCAAAGTGTTGAGATTACAGGTACAAACTACTGCTTCCAGCCTGTTTCTTTCTAATTTCATTTTTTTTGTGCTTGAGGAACATACTTGGTATTACTTAAATCCTCTTAAATTTATTGAGATTTCTTTTATGGCTTAACATATGGTCTATCCTAGAGAATGTTCTGTGTGTACTTGAGAAAAATATTTATTCTTCTGTAGTTGGAAGTTTTCTATAAATGTCTAGTTGGTTTATAGTGTTGTTCACGTGTTCTATTTCTGTTTTTATCTTCTGTCTAGTTGCTCTACCTGTCATTGGAAATGGAATACTGAAGTCTCCAATTACCATTGTTTAATTGTGTATTTCACCCTTCAATTCTGTCAGACTTTACTTCACATATTTTGGGGCTCTATTAGATGTATATACACTTTTATCATTATATATTCTTGTGGAGTAACCCTTTATTACTATCAAATATCCTTGTCTCTAGTAACAATTTTTTGTCTTCAAGTCTAGTTTATCTGACGTTAGTATACCCACTCCAGTTCTCTTTTGGCTACTGTTGTATGATATATTTTTGTATTTATTTACTTTCAATCTTCTGTGTCTTTGAATTGAAAGCACATCTCTAATAGACAGTACATAGTTGAAAGATGTTTTTAAAAATTCAGTCTGCCAATCATTGCCTTGTGATTGGAATGTTTATTTCATTTATATTTACTGTAATTAGTATATGTAGGATTTACACTTGACATTTTCTAATTGTTTTCTGTGTATCTCATTCTTTCTGTTCTTCTATTCTTCCATTACTGCTTTTTTTTTTTTTTTTTTTTTTGAGACGGAATCTCACTCTGTCACCCAGGCTGGGGTGCAATGGCACGATCTCAACTCGCTGCAACCTCCGCCTCCCAAGTTCAAGCGATTCTCCTGCCTCAGCCTCCTAAGTAGCTGGGATTACGGGCACATGCCACCACACCCAGCTAATTTTTGTATTTTTAGTAGAGATGGGGTTTCAACATCTTGGCCAGGCTGGTCTCAAACTCCTGACCTTGTGATCCACCCGCCTCGTCCTCCCAAAGTGCTGGGATTACAGGCCTGAGCCACTGCACCTGGCCCTAGATTATTTTTTATGTACCTTTTTTTTTTTTGGTCATTCCCCTTTACTATATATTTTGGGTTATTTTCTTAGTGGTTGCCCTGGGATTACAATTAATATTTTAATTTAAAGCTGTCGAGTTTGGATTAATACAACCTAATTTTAACAGTATGTAAAACCCTTGTTCCTATAAAATTCCTTTGTGCCATTATTGTCATAAAAATTACATCTTTGTATATTGTATGCCCATCAACACAGATTTATAAGTTTTGCTTTATGCAGTTGTTCTCTAAATCACATAGGAGGAAAAAAAGTATTGCAAAACATACAATACTGTCTTGGTTTTTGTTTATCTGGGAATGTCTTAAATTCTTCTTCATTTTTAAAAGATAGTTTTGTCTGATATAAAATTCTTAATTGACACCTTTTCTCTGTCATCACTTTAGATATGTTGTCTCACTGTTTTTTGTCCTTCATGGTTTCTGATGAAAAATTGACCACTAATGTTACTGAAATTCCTTGTACGTGATAGGTCACTACACTCTTGATGCTTTTAAGATTCTTCCTTTTCTTTATATATAGAGTTGTTTATGACGTGTGTGGTTGTGAATCTCTGAGTCCTTGAATGTATACATTAATATTTCTCATCATGTTTTAGAAGTTTTCAGCCATTATTTCTGCCCAGTTTTCTCTCTCCTTTCCCTCTATTACTCCTATTATGCATATGTTTGTATGTTACAGTTCTCTCAGGCTTTGTTCATCTTGCTTCATTCTTTTATCCTCTGTGCCTCAGACTGGATCATGTATGTTGACCTGTCTTCAAAGTTGTTGGTTCTTTTACCTGCTCAAATCTATGGTAGAATCCCTTTAATGAATTTTTTTAAGTTATTGTACTTTTAAATTCAAGAATTTCTATTTGGTTCTTTTTTATAGTTTCTTTTTTAAATATATTCTCTATTTGGTAAGACCTCATTCTACTTTCCTTTAGCTCTTTAGTCATAGTTTCCTTTAGTTTTTTGAACATATTTAAAAGTTCCGATTATCTTGTTAACTCCTTCATTTAACAATTGGAATCTCAGAAACCCACAGAAGCTGAAAAATTCTCCCAAAGTCACACTGCTAGTCAGTGGGAACTCAGTAAAACCCAGGGATTCCAAATTTCTGCATTATTTGTGAGACCCATCAAATATTCCTTCTTCATTTGTACTTCTCAGCAAATAATGTGATGCAGCAACTCTGGAAATCAGGTCCTCCTCCCTTCCCAGAGTGTACTGTTGTTGCTGTTATTTGTAATAGTAGTTGTATGCTTAGTGACTTTTCTGAACTAATTCTGTAAGTCTCTGTTCTTTGGGATGCCAAAGCTACTGAAGTCTCTACTTGCTTAGCTTTATGGTTGGCTAATGACTCAACAGATATTTCCTTAACCAAAGATGAGAGCTCAGGGTCTTCTCAGGAATTTTTTTAAATTTGCTTACAAATTGTGTGTACCGCCCTGGGCTTGCTTATAACCCTATGTATAAATTGTATATGAAATCACTGAAATAACATAATTAATGTCACAGCTTGTATATTCATATGTGTTTCATTCTTACAAGAGTGGAAACACTGTACAAAACTAAGTTGACTCTTTTGACTTCGCCTTTTTCATACATGAATATTTTATCAACTCTCTCTACCTTTGGCTTACTGATAAGGAACAACTGACAGGGTTTCTTCCTTATTTCCTTTCCCCTGTGTAATCATAGTTGAAAAGCTTAAGTGTTTACCTCTTGCAGGGAAAAGTAACATGAGTTAAGAAGGAGATGATAGGGTTCCTAGATCATTTGTGTTTCTTACACACTGTTGCCTTCTTTCAGTTTGAAGTAAGTTCTGGTTTAAATGGAAAGCATAGCCTCTTGGAGCTGTCAGCACCTCTACTTATTCAATTATAGATGTAACAACCTTACTTTGCACTTATTGTGGGTCTCACTAAATTTCCATGCATCATGAGTCTACAGAATTCTCTGCTCCTGGCATATCATGAATGCAACTGGGGCAAGGACCCAGGGAGTATACATGTTGTACATATCTCTTCTGCTCATGTACAAGTTCCCTTGTCCCATTGGACTTCATTTATAAAATACAGGTTCAAAGATAAAACAATTAAGCATTTCAAGATGGCCATAGGAAGGCATTACACCAAGCATGGGGTCTTGTGTGACTGCATAAGCCTTACACCCATGAAGCTGGCCCAGTGGGGCAAATGCTGCTGAATACCTTTCTAGCCAGTTTCCCTTTCTTCTCGATGGAAAAGACAAGCTTATTTTTTGCTTACAATGTCACTGTGCTCAGCTAAGAACCTACATGTTCTATCCCTTTGATTCTATGCTTTAGTTTTTTTATTGACAAATAAAAATTGTATATATTTAACACATATACCATGTTGTTTTGAAATACGTATACATTGTGGCCTGCCTAAATGCAGGTAATTATCATATATATCACCTCACATACTTATCTGTGTTTTTGTTTTGTGTGTGTGTGTGTGTGTGTGGTGAAAACACTCAAAATCTACTCTCTTAGCAATTTTTAAAAGTATAATGCATTGTTCTTAACTCTGGTCACCATGCTGTACAATAGAGCTTTTGAACTTATTACTCCTATCAAAGTGGATATTTGTATCCTTTGACCAACATTTCCCTAACCATCCACCCATCTCCCATTTCATCTGTTCATCTCCCCTCCCATCCATCCATCCATCCATCCATCCATCCATCCATCCATCCATCTCTTCTCCCATCCATCTCCTCTCCCATCCATCCATCTCCCCTCCCAGCCATCCATCTCACCTCCCAGCCATCCATCTCCCCTTCCATCCATCCATCTCTTCTCCCATCCATCCGTCTCCTCTCCCATCCATCCATCTCCCCTCCCAGCCATCCATCTCACCTCCCAGCCATCCATCTCCCCTTCCATCCATCCATCTCCCCTCCCAGCCATCCATCTCACCTCCCAGCCATCCATCTCCCCTTCCATCTGTCCATCTCTTCTCCCATCCACCCGTCTCCTCTCCCATCCATCCATCTCCCCTCTCAGCCGTCCATCTCACCTCCCAGCCATCCATCTCCCCTCCCATCCATCCATCTCCGCTCCTATCCTTTCTTGAAACTACAGAGAGGAAATGACACAGTTCTGACCAATGAAATGGAAGCAGAAGCCTCAGCCCTGCTGGGACTTCTGAAAAAGTTCTACATTTAAAACCTAGCTCTTCCTCTTGTTTATTCCTCCCTGAAATGGGAATGAACCACTGAAGAAGGGGCAGCAATGTACACATGAGGTGGTGAGGATGAAAGCAAGAACTTAGGATAAGGAGCAGGATTAGAAAACAGAAGGGAATGCGGATCTCCCAAGCTTTGCAACAACCCTTAACTGCAATCCACTGCATCTTGTTAATGTGAGCAGAGTACATCCCTGTTTGATTAAGTTATAGTTTTTCAGGTGTCTGCTACTAGCTGTAGAACATAATCATAACTTATATCCATTAATTTTGAATATCACATTTATCATGCACAAAAT